TATATATATATATATATATATATATATATATATATATATATATATATATGATAATAAGTAGTATGTGAATGACTAGACAAAATTTCCCTGGAAGCACACGACCGGTTTCGCGGTTCTTGCCGCTCGTTAGGCACGCGTATCCGGTAATCTTTTGTCAGTTCAATCATATACTTGTACTCAGGAAGTGTATCTTCGTCACAATAACCTTGTTTGCAACGCCGGGTGACCATTGGATAGACAGCTCTCTCAGAGCCAGTCCAATGAAGAATCAATGCTATGATTCGATGTTTTGTAAGTGGGTTCGATGCTACTAACCGCAACCGACGTAACTCGGGAGTCTTTATGGAATATTTCATAGTAAGTAGTATGTGAACGACTGGACAAAATTTCCCTGGAAGCATACGACCAGATACGCATGCTTGACGAGCGGCAAGAGTCACGAAACCGGTTGGGGCTCCAATCGGGATTGCAGGTTGCACCAACCATAGCTAAAGCTGAAGCTAGCTTCTTCATACCTCTATGACATGGTTTGACCAACGCTAGCGATAAACAGGTTTTAATCAAGACATCATGCTGAAATCCGGTTTTCAGTTTTCATATGACATTTCGGAGTTTAAACGGCCTCCAGACTGCTTTCTATTCATGCTTAGCCGCCTTGCGTGCGTATATATGTATTCATTTGGCGAGGCTTTGCCAGTCCGAGGCATTTCATTCAGGTTCTGCAGTTTTCCCACTTTTCGTGTAGTTTGTTTCAGCACATGGAAAACCCATCCCGTTAAACCCGCAGAACAGTTACCTTAGCAGTCGCTGGTTCTCTGTGTACGGGTCCGGCGGAGGGTGGCCATTTAGGGTAACTTTCACGATTTAAACTGGAGGCTACGCTTTGCGAAATCTATGGATTCAAAGCCCCCCGCAATATTCTGAAAGTGGTGTCGATACAACTTTGTGCGATTATGACCGTTTGAACGGAGTAATAGAGTGATATTCCATTAAGACATTAACACAACTGACATCTTCCATCTGAGGAACTCAGTGCAAAGAATTTTTCCACTTGTAATCCGACATATACTACTTATGAGTAGTAAGTAATTAAAGGCGAATGTTTAGGGGTGTATGCATTGACTCCCGCACAGGTTAACACCGAATAAATAAACTATGTGGAACTGAGAGTGTAAACTAAATCTTTCAACCGCCCTAAAAACCATATTGGCCAAGAACTGTTGCGCCTAGATGATAAAGTCAAGCTCTCAGTTAATCAAATTTTCACCTGATCGCTTTACATGATGTGCTATCCGTAGTGGAAGTTGGGTAATGGTTCCCTTGTTTTCAGCTCTCTCGATTGCTGATCCTTTACTAATACTCCAACGAACCATCCCTTTTACTTAACTTTTTGTGGCTGTTAGTAGGTTATTTATCTGAACAGGGGCAATGAGAAATTTTCCCATTATGTGTTGCAGATGCGCGCGCGCTGTGGTTAGCTACCGAGAATCGGATGATCAAGACGATGACAAGGGTACCAGTGACCATTCAGGCTCGAAATTTAATCCTTCGAAGTCAGTCAATCGCCGTCGTCTGGCTTATTCTACTGACGAAGATGCTGACCCCAGAGAAGAGAAAAGTTCTGCAAGTCAGACAAATGAGTCAGATGTGGATCGACCGCCTACCCCAGTGTCCAAGCGTATTAAGGGCAATGCTCAATATAGTTCCGCCCGACGTCGATGC